ATATTATATGTTACATATGTTTCATATGTAGAAGGACAGGATAGGGCAAAAATAGTTTTACAGTTGTACATGAAGCAGTTTGTTCTTATATTATTTGTTAATTATTGTATTTTTTCCATGTGAATATCAGCAAAGGTACTTTTATCCCACCCTGTAATATTTAGTTACTGTACACCAAACATGTGTTATATATAGATATATCTATTTACCCCATATAGTCATGGAAACTATAACTGATAATAGTATCATACACATATACACATATATACACACCAACATTGTATTTAATTGCTTTAATTTTACTTCATATTTAATTGTTTTTATTATTTTAAGGCTTCCATTTGTGGGAAGTTACTGCTATGATTTTTCTGTTATAGCAGTAATACAGTTTAACATTTAAATATATGTATTAAAGTAAAAAAGGCAGTTCATAGATAAAGTAATGAGTCTGTAACTCGGAGGAGGACTGAGAAGTGAGCGTGTGAGGGAGGTTGAGGAACACCTGCTGTGGCACAGGGGAAGGGTCCTGGGCGTGCGGGCGAACCGAGGGTTTGGACGGCACGCTTTTTCCTTGGACTTCAGTCTCTTCTTTGTTGAAAGAGTAGAGGTTACAATACAAAATGATTTCTTAGGTAAGCTGAAAATCAGAGGATCATATGCTTTTCAGGTAGCTCAACTGGAGTGTGGTCAAGGACAAGGTGCAGGTGAAAGTGGGTGGTGGATCGTGTTGTCTCAGCTTTCTTTCTTCCCCTCCTTTTTGTCAGACTATTTACGGAGCTTAAGGAAAAAATTTAAACTGTATAAACTGTATATAAATTTAAACGCTATATGTATTAATATGTAACATGTCACTTATATGTGTACTTTTATGTCATAAAAGTAGCTTGCTTTTTTAAATAATGTATAACTTTACATACCTATTTGACATTCATTTATGGGAAATTAGTTACAAGGTAATGGTTTGCATTTAATTTTTTCTGATTTTTATTGCATATGCAAAAAAGGTATTCTATTCATATGCTTCAAGGGAAGTAAATACGTGAACTAGCATGCACAAAGTAAATAAAGTATTTTCTGATCACAAATATTAATAACGTGTATGTTCTTTGGCTAACCCCTTCCCCTTCTTTCACCCAGTTTTCCCTTCACCCCTCCCCTCCGACAGTGGTCAGTCTGCTCCATGTGTCCATGCCTCTGTTTCTGTTTGGTTCATCAGTTTACTTTGTTCATCACTTTCCACATGCAAGTGTGGGCATGTGGTATTTGTCTTTCTCCGACTGGCTAATTTCACTCAGAATAATAGCCTCTAGGTCCATTCATGCTGTCACAAAACGTAAGTTTTCCTTCTTTTTCACGGTCATGTGGTAGTCCATTGTGTAAACGTACCACAGCTTTTTTATCCACTCATCGACTGCTGAATTATTGGGCTGTTTTCACATCTCAGCTATCGTCAGTAACACTGCTGTGGACATAAGGTTGCATGTATTCTTTCAGATTTGTGTTTCAAGATTCGTAGGATATATTCCCAGAAGAGGAATCGCTGGGTCAAAAGGCACTTCCATCTTCAGATTTTTGAGGAAACTCCTTACTTGCTTCCACAGTGGCTGCACCAGTCTGCACTCCCACCAACAGTGCACTAGGATCCCCCTTTCTCCACGCCCTCCCCAGCACTTATTGTTTGTGGATTCATTGATAGTGGCCATTCTGGCAGGGGTGAGGTCATGTCTCACTGTGGTTTTGGTTCGCATCTCTCTGATGACTAGACACAAAGTACACTATGGGGATGGCCAGAGGGAAGGTGGGGCTGGGGCTGGGTAGAGCTGGGGCAAGGGGGAGACAGGGACATCTGTGATAGCGGCAGCAGTACAAAAATTTTAAAAATAAATGTTAATAACAGGGCATGCTTGCACATATATTTGTTAATAGTAATAATGAGTCACTTTCCCTCGTATATTTGCAGACGTATTTTATTCTAGCCTTCTGTGGTACATATAGTGTGTATAATTTCAGTTTCCCTGTTACCAAAGAAATTTCTTTTACTTCGAAGTTGTCAGGTACCAAAGGTTATTCAACTATTTTAGGACTAGGTGTTTTTTCACTCAACTTCTAATAGTCCTCAGTCGGAAAGTGCTTTCAAATTCCAAGCAAGTTGTGAAGAAAGAGTGACTGGAAATTGCACAAACGCTCATGTAGAAGGGACACTTTAGTAATGTGTGAAGTTCATGCTTTCTGGCCTCCTTGGTCTTCTTGATTTTAAAGGCAGCCATGGGTTTCTGCTCTTTGTAATGATTCTTCTCCTTAGCACAACCGTGGTATTTATTTTAGAAAAAGTAAACGTAATTTTTAAAAACTACCCACAAGTTATTAATCTCTGTGACATGAGTCTACATGCAAGGCCACCTTTTACTGGTGCATGCTACATCAGTAGAATTCTTAAAAGCGTACTAGAATTGTATATTTTCCTGCCCACAAAGATGCATTGTGAACACTTGTAAAATGTTTAGGCCTTATTATTGGCTACCATATTTTATTATATAAACGGGTTATCCCTGGGTGCTTACACAGTATCTTTGCCATTCATGTTTTCATATTTTGATTGCATTGGGGTGAGCATCCATACACATGTTTTTGTCATTGTCTTATTATTTTCTTAGAGTTTTTGAAAGTAAAATGGAATTTTCAGAGGAAGCTGAAATTCAGATTTCTTTTGAAAAAAAAATTTTTAAATGCTGGTCAAATTGTTCAGAAACCTTATATCTAGAGGATGATTTTGGGCTATTCATTTTCAAAGACAGCGACAAAATGTTTTGTTCCGTGGTGCTTTTGCTTTTTTTTATTTCATATTTTACCCCTAGGTGGGTACATTTTTCCTACAATATTAATATCATCTAGATGCCCAAGACCCCCCATGGTGTATTTTTAGCTCTGATTTCTTAATCTTATATCAGCTTCCTATTTGACTTTTTCAGTTGTGCGATCCATGACCAATTCAAGTTTAATATGTTCAAAATTGAATTCTCAAGTTTCCTCTTTTAAAGAAAGAATGAATAATTATTGTCTCTCGATAGAGACCTGTTTATTTACAACAGTCAGTTGTTGATTGTACATAGTTACTTTATTAGAAAGTTTATTTTAGTAGCTTTTAAAAAAATTAATACATAATTGATTTACTAGAATCACCAAAATGGTGTGTTTTGATGAACAAACTCAGAGTGGTGTTGATTTAATAAGGGCCAAGTTGGAAGTAAAGTTCACCTTCTGTTTAAAGTCCAAGCTCTTAAAATATTTATATACTTAAGCAACAAGTTTTTTTTAAAACAGTAAACAAAATTGATTTTAAAAGACTGAACACCTGTATCAGTATTAATGTAATTTGGTCTGAATCCGAATGCTGGGTTCTATGTTAATCTGTTAAATTAAGCCAGCAAAACTCATATTGGAAATCTTGTTAAAACACTAGTTCCTGATTCTTTTTAAATGACATACAAAAAAAAATTTCAACTTGAGAGTTGTTTCAACTGATTTTTACTGTATTATTGTTGCCTGAACACAGTTATAGGCCTTGGGGATTTAATTAGAGAGATTCATTTTTATCCCCTAGGTAAGATATTTTACTTTCTCTGTGGGCAGAAAATTCCCAACTGTGTTTGCTAAAGATCAGTTTTATAGTTTAAAGGTAGGTTTTAAATGTTGCCATTTCTACAAAAACTCCTTGTACTAATAACATTTATAGTGTTCAATTATTTTAAGGGTCTACATACTTTCTAGAGTATGTGTTTTTTGAAATTGTGGTAAAATATACATAACTCAGTATTTACTATTTTAGCCATTTTTAAGTGTGCAGGTCAGCGGCGTTAAGTACGTCCCCATTTCTGTGCAGTGATCGCCACCATCTCCTGCACGTTCTCGTCATCTCACCCTGAGACTCTGTCCCCTTAGGCAGTGACTCCCATTCCTCCCTTCTGTCCCTGGCAACTACCATTTTCCTTTTTCTGTTTCTATGCATTTGCTCCAGGTACCTCATGTAAACGGAATTATATGGTATGTGTTCTGTGGCTGGCTTATTTTAATTAGCATAATACTTTCAAGAATCTCATGTTATGTTGTAGCATTTAATAGGATTTTCTTTTTTAAGGCTGAAAAATATTCCACTCTGTGTTCATAGTATGTGTATACTGTACTCCTCTGGGTTTTGTTTGTTTTGCTTCTCCATTCACAGGCCAGAGACATTTGAGTTTTTTGCACCTGTTGACTGTCGTGGGTAATGCTCCGATCAGCACGTGTACAGACATGTTTCTTGAGTCCTTTCATTTTGGGGGGTGTCTATACCCAGGGGTGGAATTGTTGGATCAAATGGTTGGATCAATTGTTGGATCAAATTCTATGTGTATTTTTTCAAATAACCCCCATGCTGTTTTCCACAGCAGCTTGGCCATTTTACAGTTCCAAAACAATGCTCAAGGGTTCCGGTTCCTCCCAGTTAACACTTGTTTTCTTTGTGTTTTTATTTTGTTTTGGTAACAGCCATTCAGATGGGTGTGAAGTGGTTTCACGTTGTGGTTTTGATTTGCGGTAGTGACAGAAGGATTTTGAGCTTCTTTTCGTGTGCTTATTTTCATATCTTTGGAGAAATGTCTATTCAAGTCCTTTGCCTATTTTTTAAATGAAATAGTTTATTTTTTTGTTACTGAGTATTAGGTGTTTTTAAATATATTCTGGACATTAACCTTGTATGAGATAATGTGCCTTATAGTTACTTCCCCCATTCTGGGGGTGGCTGTTTCCCTGTGTCAGTAGCGCCCGGTGCCACTTTTTGACATCATCCGTCAATGATTTTAGGGGTGAAATGAACAAGACTTCAACTTATTTACTAATCTTATGTAACCAGAAATTTGGACACATAGTGTTGTCAGTGTGCAGCATAAAAACAGGTTTGAAATTTGTATAATCAACTTGCAAATTTATAGAACTCAAACTTTCTAATATGTGTTTTCTTTTAGATCCTATAGAAAATTTCAGCTGTAGCCCTTGGACTAGGAGCCGAAATAACAGAAGCTGTGTACGATGCATTAGGGTGTTGAAGAAAATTAATTTTTGAATTAAATACTTGGAATACAAGGAAGGAAAGGTGACTGAAAATGGGGCGGAAGAAAATACAAATCACACGCATAATGGATGAAAGGAACCGGCAGGTAAATGAAATTTTAGTTTATGTATTTAATTGATGTAAATAATTTTTTAAAAAAAGGAGTATAGACTTAAATGGTTGCATTTTTCTTAAATTTAATTTCAAGTCAATACTTTTATTTCTTGAGTAAATGAAATATTTTAGCAGTCAGCAAGTTTTGGCTGTTTATCATGTGCTTTAAAGAAACTTTTATTTCAGAAATCATGTGTGTTAATTGCAGGAAATATAGGTAAAAAAGAAGAAAAGTCAAATCACTGCAGTCGCACCACTACTATTCATTGTGTAGATTTATCATAACACATGTAATCTTCTGTACATGTGATTGTGAGTTTTCTGTATCTTGATCACTTTAGGTTATCACCTCTGTTTTCACAGGTAGGTAAAACCTAAAGTAGCTACAGCCATCAATGATGTGTCTGGTCAGTTAAATTTTCTGGTTAACCAACAAATAATGAGATTTGTTTTTACAACTTTTACTATCACAAATATTCTAAAACATTTATGGGATTGGTAAAAGTAGATTTACAGTTGTTTGTATGGAAAATAATACAGTAATTAATAAACAATGCAAGAATAAGCTCTGTGTTTTTTGTACTCACAACTGTAACCCTACCTTGCCCACCCCATATGGTTTTAGTACCAAAGTCAGCCAACTCTTACCAGTTCAGGATAGTAGTGATTACCGATGGATAAAGACCAGAAGTTGTAAGGGTTTAAAGCAGGGCTTGGAAACTGTGGTCCCTGGGCTGGCTGCCTGCTTTTGCGAATAATACTCTATTAGCGCACCGCTGTGCCCATTCATTTACGTGCTGTCTGTGGCTGCTTTCCACTACAGCCATGTACTTGAGTAGTCAGTTACCCCAGAGACCATGTGGCTCAGGGGGCTAACGTCTTCGCTCTCTGGTCCTTTAAGGGAATATCTGACAACCCCTCGGTTTAAAGAAAAAAGAAGGAAAAATAATTTACCAGATTATTGTAAGCAAACTATTCAAAGCATATGCAGGAGGGAGAGAGATTGTCTCTGGAAAAGCTCCTCATCAGGAGAAGTTGTAAGGACAGCTGGTTTCTGGAAGCGTACAAGGAACAGAACAGTACTAAAAGTGCGTTCTGCCGAGGTTGAGCGCTTGCTCACCCAGTTGGTGGATGTAATTGCAGAGAAGACTCAGCTGAGCAACTGGCAGATAAATCAGTGGGAGTGGCCCACAGACCGAACTGATGAGGGCCCTTGTTCAGGGCAGGGAGATTCCTTGGCTAACGTGTCAGGCTCACATAGTAGGGTTCCTTACCAAGGCCGATAAAATAGCGAAGGCTAACAACTAGCCCCAAATTCCAAAGGAATGATTCTCAGCGAGGCTGCAAGTAAATTCCCCTTCACAGGTCGGAGGATGTTGACATGTAGGGAGGCACGGGCACCTGCTTCATGAGGACATGCAGGACACATGTAAAATAGGGTTTATCAGGCATAACACATGCGCACAGAAGTACAAAGCACATAAGAGCCCCTGCCCTCTCGTCATGAGCACAGAGGGACTGCACTCACCAGGGGAAGGGACTCCACGTGATGAGGGAGTGGGGTGCCAGGAAAAGACAACTGTGTAATGGAACTCTGTAAGTTAAGGAAAGGACCTTGCTAAAAAGATGGAGTCTGCCACTGTAGCTCAGCAGCTACAAGTAAGAAGTAGACGTCTTATAAAAATATCGTCTGGAAGGAAAATCTCTGCATGACATCCATAAACACCTAATTGCAACAGTGTGGTGATTGCAGAGGGGAGGGAGTGTAAGGGGAATGCATGGTAATGGGAAAAATACAACAAAAGTTAAAAAGGAGAAAGAGAACCTTACAGTTGAGGGAGAGGTAGACATTAAAGGATTGTTTCCCTGCTGTGTACCTAGCTTCGCTATGTCTCATCTTCTAGGCAGAGTGGTCTTCTCTTAAGCTATAATCAGCACAGTACTTCCCCCTAATCCATGGGTGTCACGTTCCAAAACCCCCTGGTGGATGCCTGGAACTGCAGATAGTCCCAAAGCCTTATATACACTATGTTTTTTTCCTGTTCATACATACCTCTTCACTTTAAAGGAAGCACTTTATGGCCTCTCTTTGGCATGTCCAAATTGCCAGCATCACTACTGTTGGGCTGTGGGGCCATTATTAAGTACAATAAGGGTGACTTGAACACAAGAGGACTGCTGAATTACCAACAGGTAAGAAGCATATGCGGTGTGAATATGCTGGACAGAGTCACGTCCCGGGCAGGGTGGCGCGAGATTTCACTGTGCTCCTTAGAACAGTGCCCAATTTAAGACGTATGAATTGTTTATTTCTGAAATTTCCCGCTAATATTTTCAGACCTCAGTTGACCGCAGGTGACCTTGTAAAGCAGAACCACAGATAGGGGGTACTGTTTCTTTTCTGGAAGATCATACAGTACTGGTATAAGTTTTAAATGTTTGTTAGAATTCACCAGGGAACTCATCTGGGCTTGGTGCTTTCTGTTTTAGAAGGTTGTCATTATTGATCCAGTTAATAGACAGTCTGAATAGACCTATTTTTTGTGTGTGTGTTTTGGTTGATTGTGTCTTCTAAGGAATTGGTTTCTTTCATCTAGATTATCAAACCTATAGGCATAGAATTGTTTTTATTCTTTTATTATCCATGGGATCTGCAGTTGAGTTAAGATGTCCCTTCTTTCATTTTTGGTATTAGTAATTTGTATCTTGTTTTCTTAGTTACCCTGGCTGGAGGTATCCAGATAACCAGTTTTTGGTTTTATAGATTTTTCTTTATTGATTTTCTATTTTCAGTTTTATTGATTTCTGCTCTAATTCTTTCTTCTGCTTTCATTGGATTGATTTGCTCTTTTAAAAATTTCTTAAGGTGGTGACAAATTATTGATTTTAGGTCTTTCTTTGCCAATATTGTGCATTCGGTGCTATTAATTTCCTCTAGGCTTTGCTTTCATTGTATCTCACGAATTTTGATAAGTTGTATTTTTATTTAGTTCAAAATAGTTAATTTCTCTTGAGATTTCTTCTTTGATTTCTGTGTTACTTAGAAGTGTGCTACTTCATCTCCAAGTATTTTCCAGCTATCTTTGTATTATTGATTTTTTTAATGCCATTGTCATCTGAGAGCATACCTTGTATGATTTCTCTTTTTTATATTTGTTAAGCAGAATGTGGCCTGTCGTAGTGTTTCATGTGAGCTCGAGAGTAATGTGTATTCTGCTGGTGTTGCATGAAGCAGATATCAATCACACACATCCTTACGGGGTTTCCCCAACATTTTTGGTGGAAGAGTATTGAAATCTACTGTGATAATTCATGTTTCTCCTTGCACCGCAGCTCTGTGATGCTCTGTTGTTTGCTTCACGTTTTAAGGATCTGAGGATTGTTATGTCGTCCTAGAGAATTGACCCCTTTGGCATTATATAGTGCCATCTTTACTCCTGATAATTTTCCTTGCTCCAAAATCTGCTCTGTCTGAAATTAATGCAGCTTCTTCAGTTCTCTTTTGATTAGTGTTATGTCTTTCTCCCTCCCTTTGCTTTTACCCTATGTGTGTCTTTATATTGACAGCGGACTTCTTGTGGACACCATATATTGTTAGGCATTGTTTTCTGATTCACTGACAGTCTTTATTTTTTAATTGGCAAATTCAGAACATTGACTTTTAAAGTGATTGTTGGATCAATATATACTACATTCGTTTTCTATTTATTACTCTTGTTTTTGTTTTTATTTTTATCTTATGCTCTTTTTCTTTTTGTGGTTTTAATTGATTATTTTGATTCCATTTCCTCTCCTTTCTTAACATATCAGTTATACTTAGTTTTTTTTATCTTTTTAATGGTTGCCCTAGACTTCGTAATGTACATTTGCAACTACCCCAAGTTTACTTTCAAATAACTATACAGCTTCACAGGCTTTTACTGCCTTATAATAACAAAGTACCTGTAATTCCTCTTTTCCTGTCCCTTGTATTGATGCTGTTGTTCCTTCCCCTGATACATAAGCTATAATCGTTTAAATACATCGTCACTGTTATTTTGAGCAAACTGATATCTGTTAGATCAGTTAAGAATAACAACACTTCCTTATGTAGATCAGAGTTTCTGGTCTGTATTTTCCTTCTCTCTGAAGGACTTCTTTCAGCATTTCTTTTGCAACAGGTCCAGTGGAAATGGATTTCCTCAGTTTTTGTTTGTCTAGGAGAGTCTTTATTTCTTCTGAAGTGTAATTGCTTAATAAGATACAGCATTTTAGGTTACTGGGTTTTTTCCTCCTTAACATGTTAAACACACTCTTCTTCATTGCCTGGTTTCTGAGGAGAAATTGGTTGTAATTCTTTTATTTACACTTCTATATATAAGATGTTTTGGTCCTCTGGCTTTTTTCAAGATTAAGAAAAAAATCTTTGATTTTATGTAGCTTAGATGTAATATACCTTGGTGTCATTTTAGGGTTTTAAGGGTTTTTATTTTTGTTGTTGTTTGTTTGTCATTTGCATTCATACCACTTGGTGTTCTTAGAGCTTCCCGGATTGTGGTTTGGTGTCTGACATTAATTTGAGGAAATTCTCAAATGTTATTGATTCAAATATTTCTTCTGTTACTTCTCTTTCTTCTAGTAGTCACAGTTTCTGTTGACATATCCTCAAGCTCAGAGATTCTTTCCTTATTAGTTTCCAGCTTACAGATGAACCCATTAGAGACAGTTCATTTATGTTACAGGATTTTTTATTGCCAGCATTTAAAATTGTTATGTTTTTAGAATTCCCATTTCTCGGCTTACCCGTTGTTGCATGTTGTCTGCTTTTGCCATTGGAGCCCTTGGCATGTTAATCATAGTTATTTTGAATCGCTGGTCTGATAATTCCAACATTTCTGCCATATATGACACTGCTTCTAATGCTAGCTCTGTGTCTTCAGATTGTTTCTTGCCTTTAGTATGCCTTGTAATTTTGCTGAAAGCCAGGCATGATGCACTAGGTAAAAGGTACTGCAGTAGTAGGCCCTTAGTCATGTGGTGCGGGGAGAGAAGTGTCTGTCATCCTGTGATCAGGACTCAGTCTCTCGTGAACCTGTGCTGGCGGGCTGTGCACTTTGTGAGTGCTTTGCGGTGCCCAACCCCAGCTTTGGGTGGGTGAGGGTGGCTGGAAGGAAGGCTGCTTCCCTCCGCCCCATCAGTTAGGCTCTGGTAACAGAGTCTGTCTGTCTTGAGGGCAGGCCTCATTAGGAACGAATGCCCTGGCATACTTCAGAGTGGCTCCTTTTCCCTCTCCCTGCTGGAAGCCCAAGGGGCGTCTCCCTGACCTTTACCACTGGGACCTGGTGGGGACCGGACCCGAGGGTAAAACATGCAGAAGCATACGTGTGACCCTCTCAGGCTGGGCCCTCCTGGGGTTTTTCACTTTGATCTTGTCCACAGTAAGCCTCCAGCATTTCCTCAGTTATAGTTCTGGTTTTCCTACCCTGATACTGGCTCCAGTTTCGGGGTGAGGGGGGCAGAAGTTGCCTTCTGACCTCAGTTCTCTGAGGGATTGAAGAAGAGTTAAATTTTTCAGTTTATTCAGCTCTCTGTTTGTTGTTAGGATGGAGTGGCAACTTCCAAGCTCCTGTACGTGCTCTACCAGAAACCTTAAGTGTCTTACCGACTTTTCAGTTCAACAGTGAACTAAAGATACGCCTAAATACATATTGTGTGAATCTCTGCAGGTACTTAGGGTTTAAGTATAGAAGGTCTCTTAGAGATGGTGCAGCCATCTTTAAAGGCAGCCAGTTTCTTCAATTTAGAGAATTATAATGCTGAGTTTCAGATTTGGTACAAAATTAGAAAAACTGGTTAGGTTAAAGCAAAATGTGTCTCAAATTTATAGAAGCACTGAATTTTATAGGTTAGGTCTTTAGCTTTATTCTTTGTTTATAGTGATTATAATCCTGGAGTAAAATGGCAATTGAAAAATAAAATTTTTATTTATTTTGGCTAATAAATACTGAAATAGCTATATTACTAATGATAATTTAAAATTATTTAAATTTTACAATACATAAAAATAAAATGAAATTAAATGTTTCATGTACCAAAATTTACAAGCCTATTTCAAAATGAAGATTCATATTTATAGGAGGAATTCTTAGTAATAGAGGTAGTTGTGAGTGATGAAATAAGGTCAGTGAGAATGAGGCCAGATCATTTATTTTGTTTGCTTAATGAGCTTGAATATTACTTTCAGTGCAATGAAAAACTAAACTCCCACTTACACATTGTGATTTATATGTCAGAAATCTCGCTCTGGAAGGTAAATGGCAAATATTACTGCTGTAGGGTATAGTAGGTGAAACAGGAAATGCAGTTCAGATGACTACATAAATAATGTACATTAGAGGTGATATAAGTTAGTCTAGGGTGGTAGCGGTGTAGACAGAAGTGTGTATATTTGAGATATGTCCGAGACGTAGAGTAGACACAGTTTGTTGATGGATTGGTGTGGTGGGGTATTTGGTGAGAGGGATCAAGGGACAGCTCTTAGATTTTTTTGGCTTTGTTTGAATGGAGGGTGGTACCAATTGCTGAAATGGAAAAGACTGTGGGAAGAGCATCTTTATAGTTTTTCAAAATCATGACGCTGGCTGCAGTCACCTGGCAAGTACTGTGAGGGTAAAGAGGAGGAGGCGCTCAAGTGGAAGCCCCTGGGCCCTTCCATACACAGCGCAGAGCAGGGGAAGAGGTCACGGCTCCAAGGCTGGGAGCAGCGGCCACCGGAGGAGGGCACCGGGAGAGTGTTGGGCGCAGAACACTTGGCGAAGAAAGTGTTTGAAGAATGAGAATATGGTCAGCTTTGTCAAATGCTGCTGACATTATGCTAGGATAAGGACATAAAAGGGACGATTGACCTTATTCACATAAATCAAAGGTTATTATTGACAAGTCTTAGTAGAATGTGAGGAGTGGAAGTCTGAGGGCGCAGTAGGTTGGGGAGAGAACAGGTAGTGCAAAACTGGGGACAGCCGCGGATGTTTCTTTCAAACATTTGAGCTCTGAAGTAGAGCAAGGAGAAGGGGTGGCAACCGCAGGGGCAGTGTGGAGTCAGTCGGAGGAGAGTCTAGAGCAAGTTTGCGTGCTTACGGCCTTCCACCTGGTAGAGGGGAAGGAGACTGTTGATGCCGGGAGAGGGAAGCCTGTGGCATGTGGGGAGGAGCAGGACCGGAAATGTCAACACCAGCAGCAGAGCCCGGAGAGTGTGGAGAGGGACAGAGGCAGTGTTTAACTGATGAAGTGGTGATGGGGAGCGCCTGCATCAGTGGGTTGAGGCAGGGGAAGTCGAGGGGGAGAGCGCGGTAAATAGCTGACGTGGAGAGCGGGCTAAAGAGACGAGCGAAGTTACGGCTGTCAGGCACCGCTGAATGTTGAGTTTTATTATTAGGAGCTTGGAAACATCAAGTGTGTGCGTGTGTATGAGCTCAAGTGTTCCCAGGAGAGGTGTGAGCTACTTGGACAGAGAGGCAGGGATAATTCAGTGTATGGGTAGGGGTCAGTCCCTGACTGGGGCTGCACCAGGCAAGCAGGTGAGACAAGGGTGAAGAAGTCATGAGGGTTTGCAAGGGAGTGAAAATAGTGATGGATCCTGGAATCAAGAGGTAAGAAAGGACATGAGACTAGATAGTAACAAGGTTGTGAGATCAGTGATTGGAGGCCTTGATAAGGTTAAAGAATTTCTGGAGAGATAATGCACCTGAGGGGAGCAGGAAAAGAGGCAGTGAAGTGGAACGCACGAAATTGAGGTTTCGGGGTGGGGGTGTGATTATTGCTGGTGGCGGAGTTAAAGGCATGATTGTAGGAGTGGGTACTTGACATGTGGTGGAAGTTGATCACTTGCAAGTTGGGAGATGAAGGAACTGAGAGACCATGGTATTCATAGTGGTTTTCCCCCAACCGATGCTGAAAGCACCAGAGATGAGAGCAGGGCCAGACCGAGAAGTAGTCAGATGATACTTCTCAGTACGCATGAGAGAGAGTGACCAGCGGGTCACCTGGTGCCCACTACACTGAGGGTTGTTGGGTAGTGTAAATGTCATGGCTTGAGCTTCAAAGCATCTGGGATTTTTGAAGGGGGAGGAAGGAAAAATAATTTGGGAGAGAGAATAGGGAACAAAAGGGATGTATCTTCCAGGTCCTTTAGTATAGGGAATATAATGTTTAAAAATAAAAAAAAAATTGACCTCTTTTTGAGAGAACTTCAGGTGACAGCTTTTAGTTAAATATTTAAAGGACATTAGGGAATTTGCTGGTCCTAGATTATGAAATTTAGTGGTCACAGGAGAAGGGCTCGGGAGGGAGGGGCAAGTACAAGTTAGATTAGTGGGTGCTCAGTTGTTTAGGGAGTAAAGTCTGAGTGATGGATGCCTCTGTGTAGGACTTGGCGTTTCTGAGGGGAACCCTTTTTAACTAGATGCTAAGGGTCACTGTTCACATGCCTCCTCCTCTGGTTCCTTGCTTCTGCAGCGGGTGGGCGAAAGGAACACCTCCTCAGGCAGCTGCCCTGCCAGCGCCCTTAGAGGCACAGGGCTCATGTGGGACTGTAGCCCTGGGGCCAGTGAGGGAGGCAGAGGCTCACGGGAGCACGAGGCTGGGAACCTTTTCCTCCTTCGAATTTGGACTCAGTGTTAAGAAGAGTCGTCTTCAGGTAGCCTGTATTCAAGTTCCCCTAAATGCTTTTGGTAAAAATACACTTTCGTTTCTTTGATCGTCTAGGTCACCTTCACAAAGAGGAAGTTTGGGTTAATGAAGAAAGCCTATGAACTCAGCGTGCTCTGTGACTGTGAAATAGCGCTCATTATCTTCAACAGCTCCAACAAGCTGTTCCAGTACGCCAGCACCGACATGGACAAGGTGCTCCTCAAGTACACCGAGTACAACGAGCCGCACGAGAGCAGGACCAACTCGGACATTGTCGAGGTAACAGCCCCGCCGGCCCGAACCGCAGGGATGCTCGTCTTGTTTGATGACTTTAGCTGTCAGGGTGGTTTTTACATCCAGAATATAAATGTCCAAAGGGTAGACACATGTTTTCTCTGAATCATTTCTTAGAAGGCTCTCATTGTTGCTGTGTGATGGACCACTTACGTTATAAATACAGCTTGCTCATTGAGACAAAACAAGCTGGGCGGTTGGACCACACACCCAGTATAACCTAGTGTTTCATCTCTGACTTACTCTATGAATGTTTAAATTGATAGTCTAAGACACTGCCATCTCTTTGGGCAGTACGAAGTTGTCGTCTTAATGTCTTAATTATTTCAGTACGTCATTGGTTGCCCATAGCTCTGAACACTGACGAAATGAAAGAAAACGATGTCAGCGATAGTGTTCAGTTGTGCCCTGCTTTTCCTTTGTCTGCTGCTTTCCAGTATCTCTCATAATTCTGCCACCCTAACTACGTGAAAAGAAAGAGAGGGGATTTTTAAAGAATGATTTTTCTACTCGGAAATAGAGTTTTAAAACTAAACCTTCGGAAACAAGAGCCAATATGCTTCTCCTTTAATGCTTTTTTGTTGCAAAAGCTTCTCCTAAAAGGTACCTGCCCACGCATCTTTCTAATAGAGTTTTAGATTGGCTTGATCTTTACTTTTGTCCTTGTTTGTATTTAGAGGTTTTGTATTCACTTTTATTCAAACTTTTTCACTACTTGAAAAGATACATACTTTGGCTTAGTTCATTGAAACAGAAAACTATTTTAATGAATTAGGCACTTTCTTGGTGAAAGTACTGCAACCCTGGGAAATGACACACGACTAACTGTAAAAGAAGAAATGGAATTCCAATCTAGATTTCATTCAAATAATTGAAATTAAGGTATTTTGTAGAAATCTAATTTTTTTGTCTCCACAGATACTATAGTTCTGACAATGAGTTTTAAATTTATCCTATATTTCTCTGCCTTAGCCATTCCTTTTTGGATAGTATGTAATTGTTACTACGAAGAAAAAATCTGCTACTTGTATTAAAAGAACATTGTTACTACTTTATAGCAATTAACCGATTGGTTGAAAAGAGAAGAAAAAGTATAGCGATATTATAGCTAGGACTCCTTGCTGTTGCTTGGTCGACTCAGTTTTATTTAAGTGGCTCGCTCCTGCAAACCTCCCCCGAACGTGTGTGGAGCTTTCAGTTGGGCCTTCGTGGAACACTTCGATTAAACTGCACAGTTACGTCTTTAGCCAACCCCTTAACACAGTTATGTCATTTGTAAGTTACTTTCTATCCTTGAGTAGTTTTGGTATATCTTACCACTTATATGCAGTACAAACTATTCAGTCGACTTTCCCCCTGTTCTATAGATATGAATTTCTAATCAAAGTTTTGGAAATTAGAGGGGGTTGCCGCTCGGGTGGGCTTTAGAGGAGACTTTGTAACTGAATTTCCTTGAAATGGGGAGTATCCCTGGTGTGTTTAGTTTAAAATGATGTCATATTTTTGAAATCTCTATTTCTCATAAAAATTTGCACTGCCTTAAGTCAAACAAGTAATAGCATTGACTTTCTACTGGCAACAAAGGGATGGTCAGGCAAGGTTCACCCTGGAAGGCAGCGACCCCGCTGAGCCCTAACCGCTGTGCTCTTTATCGCGGCGGGGCTGCTCTTGGCCCCCGAAGTCGAGGGAGCCTTGCACCGCCACAGGCTGACTTCCTCCGCGGACATGCAGAAGGCAGTCTGCTTCCGTCCTCCCGGGGTCTCAGGAGGCTGCCTCACTCTGCTCATCTCTGTCGTTTGTGGTCAGCCATCAGTGTCAGAGGACAGACCCCAGACGTTTTTTAGCAGTCTCCTTCGTTACAGTCTACTTCAATATGAAGAAAAACTTTTGCAGTTCAGTTACCAATTGGCTTTTGTATCTTTTCTTTTTAATTAAATATTTAAGAAGTGAGCATAAATCTTACCAATATGTTTTTATGAAGTTCTGAATTGCGTCAAAACAGTGGATAGAAAACACAGTTGTTTGTAAGGGCTTAGTTTGTTGTGGTAGAATAAATTATAAGGCTTAATTTGCCTTTCTTGTATGTTTGTGAACCTGCATTATAAGACAAAGGTGGCTACACTTGTAAGATATCCTTTCTCCCACATATATAAGGTGTGTGTACACGAGTAGCGTGTACGATCTGAGTGCTTTTCACCAACAGCACTCACAGCCGATGCTAATGCGGCCACAAAGATTTTTGTGAGCTAAACTAATGACGGATACTTCCACTGACTTCCCTGTGGGCCACTTTCTCAAATGCTTTACAAGTGTCTCAGCTAAGGATATTTTTAGAATACCATTGTAAGTATTTTTTCCTTTTTCACATAGTTTCCTTTCAAACAATTGCAGTCATTGGAAGCACACTTTTTGATGTCCCTTTGTTCATTTGACAACAATATTTGAGGGGCTCTTGGGTGCCACAAGCTCTGCAAAACGATGTTATTTACAGATTTCCAATTCAAGCCACAAGGCAGTTCTTTCTACCCAAGTTTTATAAATCATGGAGATCAACTTTTTCCAGCTAAAGATCTTTGATCTCTAACTTCTAACACGTCAGCGTGTGATGTTCTAGACAGTTCAGCCACCTCACGTGGCTGAGCACACACATCAGTACTGACAGGTGGCACATACACAGCTGTGAGAGGTTGGCTTTCGTGTGTTTCCGTGGTCGGCAGTGGAACCGAAAACTTGGTGAACTGCTTTCATAAAGCCTCCAACCCGAAGGCACTGACTTCCTGCCGCAGCCCGTGTTATCTCCAAAATCAGCAGGATTTTACTTCCTGACATTTTACTAAACGGTCCTCCGACAGTCTTGAATATGTTAAAATGGAGCCTTCTGTAGATGCGCTTCCTCTGTATCCCACACACTCGTCCTGTTGGGACGAGCTGTGAAGAGAAAGGAGGATGGGTGTCCTGTGTCATTACCACACCTGCGTGGTCAGCAGCGCAGGGACACACATGTGTCATGCCTGTGGAGTTAGAGTGTTTTCTGGGAGCGCTGTGGTAAATACATGTTACAGCTGTTGGTGTTTGCATATTGAGGGTGAACAGAAAGAAAGACACTACACTCACATTTCTCTACCTTTGTTTTTAACCATGGGTATTAGAAACCCTCTACAGCATGATGTGTCTTTGCTGTTCCTCATTTCATACTACCTGTGTTTTCATACTAGCTTTGAAAAATTAATTAACTTTAGCTGATAACATTATTTCTATATAGTTTTTAAAAAATCAACACATATTTTAGGTGACAGGTATTTAAAATTAAGGTCTGCAGTGTCTTGTAGGATATACATACTTTCTACATTGAGAGAACTAAGTGTATGAAGGTGGAAACTACACGGTGGTGAATTAGGTTGTCATTAAGGTAAACTTCATAAGAACCTGCAAAACTGGATTTCTTTGAAATGAAGAGTATTACTGCTGTGTTTAAAATAACATCTTGTTTGAAAATGTTCGCATACCGCTTTTCAGGAATGTACTTTTTAGAAAAAAGTGAGTTTTATCACTTTATTTCCTATATTAGGAGACATTATACAAAGAATATAATCAAAGATATGCATTGAACATTTTCATGTTGTTGAGCATGGATACAAAAAGTATTAATTGACATGTACAAAGAAAATTTTAGAACACCCAAGTTTTCAGCAAATTAAGATTTAAAAACATGAAAATTATATTATGCAATTGCATAAGGACATTAGACATGTCCTAAAGTCTTAGCTACTAGAAATGAAAACTGCTAATCAATGGCTGTTACTTATACATGTATATGTACATACATTGAATTTAAACTGAATAGAAGCCCAGAGCCAATAGAAAGAGTTCTGCATCAAAATGAATGTTATTCTAAAGGCATAAAGTAAGGATTTTCGGCAGCTGCTACACGATAAACACCTGAAATTACTTTTAAACCCTTTTGTAATTTTGCTTTGCAGGAATATTTGGGATGCTAAATATTCCTGTTCAGTATTTTTTAAACAGCTGTGACTTGGTGGCATTGGAGAATGTCAGTAGATAGCTTCTATGGTGATTCAGATCATTGTGATGTAATTTAAGGATCTAAATACAGGGGCTATGGCCATTGATCTTGCATGTTAATGTCTTGTGAACTGTTCCCAAATAGAGCTATTTTATTCACCACAGGGATACTACAGTACTTAAAAAAAAATTCTACTTGCGTTATCTCGTGATCTTCATATTCAAGGTAAGCGTTTTCGGAAGTAGAAATTGAGACCCCGGTTAAATGACCTGTGCTGAGTCAGGTCGAAGTTTAGTGGCAGAACTGCGACCAAAACCTAAATCTTTGATTTCACCCATCCTCTCCCCTTGTTCCCCCCCGTCACTGAATCTATTGGTCTCTGGGATATTTCACCATAGGTAGATAGCATTTTATACCTATACCAGCAGGGTATAACATGTAGCAAACATGAATAAGTTTCCCTCAATAATGAACAGAAAATAAGTGAGGATAATTGTAATAGAATAACAGGTAACATTTATCAAGTACTTAATATGGTCTGGTACTCTTCCAAGGGCTTATGTTTATATTATCTTATTAAATCTCTCTACTGATCCCATTTTACAGTTGAGGAAATTGAGGCACACTGATAAATGAAGTGAGATGATGATAGTTTGGATTCTGAAGAAAGAAAAAATCTGCTTTTTTGAGTTCTGATAATCCTTGCCTACTTTCAAATTACAAAGGAATTTAGAGATTATTTTGAAATTAATATGAGGCTCTTAAAGAAATCAATGTAAGATCCACCTGTTAATTATTACATAACAGGTGGTACATTATTTAAAATCAGTACTTCTCGGAGTGTGGTACCCTAACCAACAGAATCCATCCTCCTCTCCCAAGAATTTACTGGGAATCTATAAGTTTTGGAGCCCTGCTTCAGGCCTGCTGAGTCAGAAACTCTTCAGAAGAGGCCTAAGCA